CTCCCCTCAGCAGTGTACTTCATCGATCTGCCTGTTCTGCTTCCCACTCTGTCTCTGGTGAAGCCGCTCACCACCCCTGAGCCTCTGGCCTGTACTCCAGTTCCGCATATGTACAAATAAATAAATCTTTAAAAAAAAAAGTTCTTCTTATCCGTTTTATAATTTATTTCTGCCAAAATAATAATAATTAATAGTTGTTGAATTTTTTATAGAAGGCTGGGACCCTGTTCTCAGGGTCTCTTCATGAATTATCTCACTAAATCTTCAGCATTGTACATTTCACTAAGAAGGATTTTCAATATTCAATCAGAGTTTAGTGTGCACATATAAGTTAAGCAATAAGCATTTGGCTTTTCAGTCAAGCTGGCTAATTTCAAAACATATACTTTTAGGTCCTACATTGGAGGAGACTAACTTTTGGTTTATAGCTGGGTATCATAATAAATGGAAGTGTAAGTTAGAGCTTTAGAAGGAAGTAATTGTTCTTTTACATTGTTTCCCCTCTTTCACTTTTGTCCTCCAAAAACGCTGCTTCTGTTCCCTTTGTCCTTTTGCAGAATAAAAACAATTTTATGTGTTTCCACCATGTTGAAACATGGTGTGTGGTTGTGCTGAAACTTGTTTGCTGTCTGACTAGTCAAGTTAGTTCTATTCATCAGTCCAGAGTTTTCCAGAGATTATAGCAATTATCCATGTTGGGAGACAACATCTGTTGTTGCTCTATTTTGTGAATCAGTGTGATGATGTCAACCTGTGCTAAAAGAATCCTTTAGGATGCGGAGCGAGATGGCAAATCAGAACAAAAATCTGTGGAGGTGGGCCCACAATTGACTTCAGCACTCCGGAAACTGCTTGAAAATAATTTGGAAAATGATTTATTCTGTCTCTTCATGATCACCAGAGCTGGGGTACTTTTAGAAAGTAAATTCTGGAAAAGCTGGAGACAGCTGGGCTTTCTAGCCCTTATGTCTGAGTTTCCTTTTTTTTTTTTCAGGATTCAGATTTTTCACGTTGTCCTGAATATGCGTATTTATAATCCCAAAGGGTAAAAGGGGAAGGGAGAGGGGAAGACACTAAATTGTAGATACTGGAAAATAGCAACAGTGAATGTCCTTTCTTTAGTGTTTATGGAGACATCCTTTTACAGAAAAATATGACAGGTGGATGGAAATACAGAGATAAAGACAAGAGTCTGATCAGCAGACAGGATGAAGCTAAGGCAGGAAAGAGTCAAGAACTTGCCCAGCACTATGAATTCAAGTGTACTCAGTCTGTCTCCAGAACCTTTGTCCTTATCTCATTTTTCAAATTGAAAAATGTGTATTTTAGAAATAAAAGAAGAATCCAGTTGGTAAATATGACTCAGGCTGGAACAATTTTTACTTAACACACTTGACTTGTAGAATGTGGTGACTTCTGTCCTACATTCAATGTGGCTTTTGCCATTTAATTGAATGCACTCTGGTCTAGAAGTTATAAAAACAGGAGTTTAAAATAAGTTATAAAATACAATAATGTATTGTAATTCCTGTATTAAGATCTAGGTTTTCAATATCATGCAGTGTAATGTGTATTGAAATTTTAGTGCACTGTGTTTCTGTGTATTTCATAAAAAAATCTCTTTCCCCAAGAAGTATGAATCACTTTTAGAACATAGGTGTTGATTTGAGAATGAATTTTTTTTTTAAACTTTTTTTTTTAAGATTGATTTATTTATTCATACAGAAAAGGGGTACAGGTTAGAGGTGCAGGGGTGGTGAGAGGATTCACCAGAGACAGATTTGGGAGCAGAACAGGCTGTCTGACTAAGCACACTGCTGAGGGGAGCAGTGGGTGGGCCAGAAGAGGTCTGCCACGCCATGTGAATCACCTCCAGTGTGGGCAGGGATTGAAATCACGATGAAGTGGCTTTAGCTTCTCAGTGCTGTTCTTTAATCCACTGCACCACCAGGGAGGGCTGGATTTTTTTTTTTTTTTTGAGTTTTTTTATTATTTATTTATTTATTTTTTACATCATTCTTCATTTTGTATACTTTTCCATCTCAGTTGTAGTCCCATGGGCCTCCCACCACCAGTTCACCCATGTGCCATCACCACAGTCCAGTATATTCTTCCCACCCAGTTCTAATCCCATTTTCCCTTCCACTCCCATAAATGTCTCTGGTTTGTAGCTGTTTGTTGTTTTCATTTTTACTCTATTACATATTTTAGTCTCTCTCTCTTTTCTTTCCTGGTCCCTATGCTTCTGCTATGAGTGAAACCATCTGGCATTTTTCTTTCTCTTTCTGGGTTATTTCACTAAGCATGATCCCTTCCAAGTCCATCCATGTTGCTGCAAAAGGCATGAGTTTATCTTTTTTTTGATTGCTGAATAATATTCCATTGTTTGTATGTACCACATCTTCTTAATCCAGTCATCTATTTTTGGGTATTTGAGTTGATATTTTAAGTCAGATTTGGGTATTTGAATTGATATTTTAGAAGTAGTATAATGTATTTCTAGAGTTGGAGAAATAAAAGTGGGGATGATTTATCTGTGGAAATACATTTGTTCAAGGAATCCATTAGATAACTGTAGCTCAAGAAGAAATTGGGTGGTGTATGAATGCCTTCAGCTGTACCTCTTGGGCAGTAAACACTGGGAACTCACCAGAGTCTATATGTGGGCACCTTTCTTCAGCTCACAGATCTCAATGGCTTTTATAAGCCAACTTACCGTATGTCTGAAATTATATTTAATATTGTCCATGAATGAATCCCACATTTCTCCTTGACATTTAGGTACCAAAAATGAATCAATTAAAGCTTACTCTGCGAAAGAAAATCAATCAACCAACCAACAGACCGACCTATAAACAATTAAATAAAAGTAATGTAATATCCCCTTTTAAACATCAGTGCATTTCACTTGAGATCCAGATATTTTCTTTATCTTACAAATATCATTTCCTGAAAATAATCGTAGGTGCTCTCTCCTTAATTCAGTTTGTTCCCTACCTTTCTTTGTTTGCCTATGAAAACAGTTTGGTTTTCTGTTGCTATTTTTTTTTTATCTTATTGCAGCCTGGATTCATTCATAGACACTACCTTCCCAGCCCTTATTGGTGTTTTACTTTGCAAACATTTTTGACAAATTTACCAAGATATTCAGTTTGTAACCCACTCAGGGATTTTAGGGAAGCCTCCAGTTTCCCTCCAATCACATAGACTGTGTTCTCTGATGCATTCTTGTACATTTGATTGGAATCAATTTAAGGTGAATAAATCCATTTTAATTTAAAATATAAAATAATTTGTCAATAGAGAGCATGATGCATTGAGATGGACACAAGTTAGAACTGTGACAACTATCATGTCACATAATTTCTGGGTAAAATTTACTCAATAATTGAACTGATATTGAGAATTTTTAGGAAATATAATACAAAGGAAGTATTATATAAAATATTAGCTCATTTTGGGCCCTCCCTTGTGGCACAGTGGTTTAACACACAGCAGTAAGAAATTAAAGCCATTTCAGCATGAGTTTAATTCCCATCCTGGAGGTGATCCACATGGCGGCAGGCCTCTCCTGATCTGCTCACTGCTCTCCTCAGCAGTGTGCTTAGTCAGTTGGCCTGTTCTGTTTCTGGTGAATCCTCTCACTGCCCCTGCATCTCTGGCCTGTACCGCAGCTCTGTATGCTTAAATTAATTAATAAATCTTTAAAAAAATATTAGCTCTGTATTAGTTTCTTTTTCTATTTGGTAAACATAAGCCTTGCTATTCAGGATTTCAAAATAAGAATGTCAATTTTGGGGGGAGTATTTTATTATTATCTCTTCAAAGATTTTGTCGTTGCCTTCTTATGGCATTTTATTCCTATTTACAGTTGTATGAGTTCGTCTTTTCTCCCCTTACAAGACCATAAACTCCTTGAAGACAGGGTCCATGTTGTTTGTCCCAGGACTTGGCTTGGTAGTTCAGTATGTGATAGTCCTACATAAATATGTTTCATTAAAATAACATAAATTTCTTTGTTTTTTTTCAGGCACAGCTTTGGAAAATTGAAAGTTGTTTTTCCTTCCCAAAGATAGATACTAATTCAGTGGAAAATGAGATTCAAGACAAAGGTAGAAGGGAAATTCCTTTACTTTTGAAGGAGGAATCATATTTAGATTCAACAGAACAGTCTTTACTTGAAAAGACAGACAAAGATGATTCAACATACAAGTAAGTGATTTTAAGTGTTACCTACATCTCAATGGATGTCTAGCTAAGACCTAGGGCAGAATGATCCAAATATACTTCTGTACTCTGTCATATGTCCACTTACTACTCAATATTTCTCAAAAATTGTAGGGTATTGGTAGAGGTGTGAGTCTAGGGGAAGGGGAGCATAGCAAAGGTGACTGATGATTATATTCTGGCCTCCACTGAATTTGTGGATTCTGTCTAACACCTTCATGTCTTAAAAAAAAAAATGTTTTTAAAGAATGTCCTAATCTTTTCTTTATGCTCCATTACCAACCTACTGGTGTAAATCATCCTCTTTCCTCAAAAACAATGCATGCATGTACAAATGTCTATCTGCTTGCCTGTCTGTCATCTATAGATTTAATTTAGAATAAAAGTATTATTCTTGTTGTGGGTAAGATACAGAATGGATTTATATGGCAAAGGTTCAAAGAACTTAACTTTGATTATTTAAAATCCTTCTCTTTTTAGTGTTTCTAAGCCTCTCCTTCGTGCTCAGCCGTTTTCTCTGTATTGCTCTCACAGATTCTATTCCTAAATTCCACTTACTCTTTGATGTGAGACAATTTTAGTTATGTCTTTTATTTCCTACATGCTTGCTAACTCATGCTCTCATTGAACTTTTAGTAAAAGTATCTTTAAGAGGATAATTTTACTAATAGTGTTGGATTTTTTATGCTTACATGTAGCAATTCTTTGGATTATGGAAGCAATTGCACAAAAAATATAAAGTTCCTACCTAGTCCCATCCTACAATGCATATCTTATATTAATGTAACACATTTATTACATTGATGAACAAGTATTGATACTTTATTATTATCTCAACTCAGTAGTTCACATTAAGGCTTCATTAAGTTGAAGGTTCTTTGATAGCAACTCTGCATTGGGTATCTCTAAATGAATACATGGGTTGATATTTCATGCTTAAACTCACCAACTCATGCCTCTGGTAATGACATCGCAATATATTTCTTTTATAGTCCCTTCAAATGGGCAAGACTCCCCATTGCATAACTCTGCCTGAGTTAACTTCTGCTGGATAAACAGGGAGCTCACTCATCTGGCCACACCAGATGCTCCTTGGTGCCCCTGTCTCAAACTCTCGGGGTTGTTCCAATCATGTTTTCTTTCTCTGTGTACACTACTTTGGGATTTAATGAATTGGTAGTTTAGTGCGCCCATCTAATGGTTAAGCTGGAGGACATATATTAAACTTTTACTTACGTAAGAAGAAATTAGAACTGAGGGGCAAATTCCTTCCTTTCCCATGTAGTGAGATTCAATTCACTAGGCTTTCTCCAGTATAATTCTTTCTTATCAAGTCTGCAATTGCTTGCATCCTAGATCAATTTTGGAGAAACTTCACATGTAATCTAGAACCTCACTTTGTAATGTGGGAATAATTTTTACCTATTAATTGATTGCTTTGCTTTTGCAATTCTGTTAACAGGGTGATAGAAGAAAAAAACTTACCTTTAAGCAGTCTGTTACACTAAATTACACTTCAGTATTTGTCCTTCCATCTTCTTGAATTATGGTTTGCTGAAATGTCAAATAGTATTTTACTTTCAGGGGAAGGATATTTTTAATTTAGAAATATAGACTGACCAGTGGTGTACAATAATAAAGTGCTAGGAATAGAATTTCTCCACTCAACTACCTAACTCAATTTTACACATCAGGAAATAAAGTTACCCCTAGGTGACACATATAGATTATTTCTCTTCCTACCCTATGATTAAGGCAGAGGCAAGAGTTACAGATTCTTGTTTAAGAATATTTCAACCAAATTACTAATTTCCCAGTCCCCATGAAAATATCAATTATTATTTTAATTCATCTTTGTCTTAACTATTTTAAATATTTCTTTTTCTTCACTTTTATCTCTTCTTATTTCCTTATTGGTGTTATGAAAATTAATGATGGTATGTAGGCTCTTAAAATTACAGGTATCTCTTAAATCTAGCGCTTTGTAGTCTACCATCCAAGGTACATAAGACTAAAACAGAGTGAGTCCTCATACTGATTAAATGTTCGTTAGGTGTTGGGAAGGTTTCTATCAAAGAGATAAAATTGTGTCTACTATACTACATCTTTCAAAAGACAATGCATCATAAAATACATCTTTAAAATTCACATTTTAATTTAATTCAGCTGACTGTTCTGAAACATTTTTAATTTTGAGCTAGCATTGGTTTACAACATTGTATATGATTCAGAGGTATAGGATATTTAGGACTGTAAAAGTGAAGTAGCATAGAATAATGCCATTTAGGAATTATGAACTAATTGAAAGAAAATGTTTGAAAAATGAATCCTTAGAATTAGCCCGTCTGGTACAACCCTTGCTTTTCCCAGGAACATGACAAGGAATCCCATGGGGAGAACATAAAAGGGCTATTATAGTTGTCAAAAGTGTAATGTCTTTTATGAATTCTGTTGAATCTTGAAGAGATGACACCTTATTTTTCCCAAAAAAATTATTCTGAAGAATGAATCATTTTCTTAATTAGATTAATATATTCAATGAGAGAATCAAGTTAATTCTTGTCCACATACAAAAATATGATTGAAAATACATATTTATTTCTTTAAAGAATTTAAAAAGATCAGAGGAAGAAAAATGCAGTTGTAATGGAGGAAAGAACACAGTAAAGAACATAGAGAAACAAAACAAATAGCCAATGAAAATGGGAGAAACGGAACAAATTAAATAAACCAAAAAATTGTTTTAAATTTTTGTTCCGGTTGGTTTTTCCTTTCTTTGTTTTTTGGAGAATTCTTTTTATTTACCTTTGGAAGTTTAAAACCAAAAACCGGAGGAACCAAATTGAAGGTTTAAACCTTGAACAAAAAATGCACTTTTCTTAATGTATATAGCAGTGTAGCTTCTAGACTCACACAAAATTATTTTTCTTAGAAAAATTATCTACAAAATATGGACAGTGTTTGGACAATATAATCTTAAAATATTTACTTTTCCAATTTAATACTTTTATTAATGTAATATCACATTATAGGATTATATAAAGTTCAGGTATATATAAATTATGTAATGCCATCAAGAATCAACATGTGCACATACATTAAGTTCACCACTAAAAATCCAGTTCCAGCCTTCAAATAATATGTGTCCATTAGGGGAAAATTTGAAATTAAAGATAAGCAAGAAGTAAAAGATGGAAACTATTGCTAACACTTAGCATTAAAACAACTCTACGGGACTTGTTTTAGGTATATTTAAACAAATAGACAAAAGTGCATTTTTTTAAAAGATTTATTTATTTATTCATACAGAACTGCGGTACAGGCCAGAGATGCAGAGGGTGAGAGGATTCACCAGGAATCGAATGGGGAGCAGAACAGGCAGATCAACGAAGTACAGTGCTGAGGGGAGCAGCGGGTGGGCCAAGAGAGGTCTGCCACGCCATGTGGATCTCCTCCGGGGCAGGCGGGGATCGAACTCATGCGGAATTGGCTTAAGCTTCTTAGTGCAGTGCTTTAACCCGCTGCACCACCAGGGAGGGCCCCAAAGTGCATTTTATTAAAATATGGACTTTGAACACATAGTCTATAATCAGGTTTTAATCGCTCAAAACCATACAACTACTATTTTTCCATAATTATTAATGGGACTCTCCATGGACATCAATATTCTTAATGACTCTCTGAGTTTTTCATGGAGATTTTTTTTTTAAGATTTATTTTACTTATGTATACAGAACTGGGGTACAAGCCAAAGGTACAGGGGCAGTGAGAGTCTTCACCAGTGACAGAGTGGGGAGCAGGCCAACTGATGAAGTTCACTGCTGAGGGGAGCAGCTGGCCAGACAGGAGAGGTCTGTCACGCCATGGGGTTCACCTTTAGGCTGGGGATCAAACTTACACTGAAGTGACTGTGCTAGCTTGCAGGGCTGCATCTTAACCCGTTTCTCCACCAGCCCTCCATGAGGGCCTCATGGAGATATTTAAGGAACAGATTTATCTGGCAGAATATTTCTTTCAGTACCTTCTTGTGTATCTATAAGAATACCCAACTGACTTCATCATTAGAATAAATTCTATGAAGTGTAGTGGCCGAGTCAGTAGATTCAGTTTTTGGGTCATTTTACTATACTCCCTTCCCAGCAGTGGTCTTTCCTGCCAGCAAGTGCATGGAGATGACTGTCTTGAACCACGATGACTGGATGTTGCTGGATGTTTTTGTCTTAAAACTGTTGCCATAGTAACTTACCACTGTTTTAAATTGACTCACTTGCTCATTGTGAGCAAGTTTATTAGTTTTTCAATAATTTCATGACAAAGTAGAAAGAGTCTCTTAGTCCAATTCTTCAAGAAATCTTCAGAAAAGCCTAACACAGCTGCTTCATGAATAATTCTATGGGAGGCGCCACTCTGCAGATGGCCTTCTCTGCAATGACCACTCAATCACAAAATGGGCTAATGTCAGATTCAGAACACTTATTCGCAGAAATAAAATCTTTTTGATTTTTATTAGTATTTTAGAGCAAAAAGGACAGGTCTGCCACCTCCTATTTATCTGATAGATTTATTTTTGGTTACCATTAATAATTGGTTGTTGGCACAGTGGGTTAACGCACAGCACTAAGAAGCTAAAGCCACTTCAGCATGAGTTCAATCCCCTTCCCCGGAGGTGATCCACATGGCGCCACAGACCTCTCCTGGCCTGCCAGGTACTCCCCTCAGCAGTGTACGTTGTCAGTTGGCCTGTTCTGCTCCCCGTTCTGTCTCTGGTGAATCCTCTCACCACCCTTGCACCTCTGGCCTGTACCCCAGTTCTGTATGCATAAATAAATAAATAAATAAATAAATAAATAAATAAATAAGTTATAGGGAAAGAATAAAATTTTACATTTTAGAAACTAAGATAAAAGAATCAGTTGGAAAATGAAACAACTTTCCACTAAGTTCTAAATAACTTTTTATAAGGCTGAATATACTGAAGATTAATG